TTTGAAAGGCCCAATCATAACCCATATTTGCAAACATACAACCCTGGTTGGAGAAATCACCAAAATTTCAGTTGGAAGAGTGACAATGCAAAAACTTCACAACCACAGTTTCAAGCACACCATAATTTCCAAAATTATCATGGATATATACCTCCTCATGCTCCACCTCTAATTTCCAAAATTATCATGGATATGCACCTCCTTATGCTCCACCTCCTACAAGAAATTTTGAGGAAACTTTGTATGCATTCATTGAAAAGCAAGAGACAATCAACACTCAACTTGCTCAAAGCATAACAGATTTTAAAGATACTCTTGCAAAATTCACATCTGCTCTCAATTTTCAAGAGACAGGTAAGTTTCCATCTTAACCACAGCAAAATCCCAAGGGGTAATACAATGCAAATGCAAGTAGTTTTGGAAGTCAACACATGGATCAAGTCAAATCAGTCATCACTCTTCGCAATGGTAAGGTTATTAAAAAACCCACTCTTGAACCTTGTGAGAAAGATGATGAGTCAATCTCTAAGGGTAAGGAAGGGGTTGAATCTGAATATTGCAAGGAAAAGACTAATTCCCTGCCAGCACTTCCATTTCCTCATGCCATGACCAATCAGGAAGACATCGATGATGAAAAAAGCACCGAAAATATTGATGCAGATCTTTTATCAAAAGTGACAACAAATTCGACACCCGACATTACACCAATCAATTATTCTTTTCCTGATGAATCTCTACTTTCTCTTAGTTCAATGCCTTGGTTTGCTAAAAATATCAATTTTCTTGCTTCAGGATTTTTGCCAGCTCACTAGAGTACCGAAGACAAAAGAAAATGTTTGAGCAACGTGCAAAAATTTTATTGGGATGACCCTTACTTATTCAATTATCGTCCTGATCAAATATTTCAAAGATGCTTTCCCGATAATGAGGTAAGTAATTTCATTAAATTTTGTCACTCTAAGGCACGTGGGGATCATTTCTCGTCAAAAAAGAGGATTGTAGAAATCTTACAAAGTGGATTTTACTGACCCATCATATTCAAGGAGTCACATGCATTCCGAAAAAGCTGTGAAAATTGTCAAAAGGTGGGATTTATTTCAAAAGACAGAGAGTCTTTAGATAATCTTCTATTGACTCTTAAGTCTCATCATAGTCGAGATAAGTATCGTGCAATTCATGACTTATGAACCCATTTTCATAAAGAACATGCTTGACATAGTCTTGGGAATTTGACTAAAAAAGACCCTGTTTGCTAGTTTTTAAGAAAACTAGATGGGAAGCCTATCCCCGACCCATAGAGGATGTTTAAGCCGTTCTTGGACGTAAAACCAAGAGAAGATGTGAGCCACAATCACAACCACCTATACTGTTTTTCTATTTTAACGCTTTGATTACTAGGGACTAGTAATAAGCTGGTTGGGGGGTGTGATTAGTACTTAAAAGTGCATTTTTATCATGGTTTTATATCATCATTTTGCACTTGAAGTATCAATAACTCCTTAACTAAAGCATGTTTTATAATAATATATCTAATAATATAAGATACCTTTAATTTGTGGTAAATGTTCATTTTAAATGCAGGCCTATCACATAAATGAAAGAATTGATTGATGACTTTAAGAACTTAAATTGCAAGGGCAAAAAGATGACCAAAATTAGAAAAGAGATGTCGGTGCAATCCAAACCGGAACACTGTTCGGTAATTGGGTCATATCTGGAGCTATAGATCTCAGATTTAGGTCTACTTTATAGGGATGGAAAGGTACGACATAGGCCTACAACTTTCATATGGAGCCCAAGATCTAGAAAGGCCATTTTCAAGTCCAAATTATTGCAACAACAAAGAAGCCCGAAGCTGTCCTCCAGCCCGAGCACTGTTCAGTATTTTGGCCATATCTGGAGTTATAGAAGTCCAAATGAGCTAAATTGTGTACACAAGAAAGCCGAGACAATTTCCTACAACTTTTATGTTTTCAAGTGGCTCCAATTTTGACGTTATCAATGACGTTTTGGGAAGAGAAGAGAAGATAAGGATTATCACCAAGTCAAGAGTTGGCCACCCACTCATCAATTAATCATCAAATCAATAGTTCCCAATTTTGGCCTATAAAAGGACGCATTTGCCATGCATTTAGGCATCTTGGTTTCCAGATCAAGATCATGCTCTTCCTTTCTCTCTTTGTATTTTTTGTAATGTTTATGCTTTACTTTCATTAATATCAAGTTTATGCCTTTCATTTCCTTGCATTTACTTAGTTAACTTTATTCTTATTCATGTTCTTATTTTGTTTATTTATTTTTCTTTCTTTCATTATGTCTAAATTTCCTTTCCTTTACTTAGTTAACTTTTATGTTCTTATTTTGTTTATCTATTTTGCTTTCTTTCATTATGTCTAGCTAAGTTAGTTATGTCAAGGTGAAAAGGTTACACTAATGGTGTAAGAATAAGTATAATGTAAACTTAATATGGACTTTAATGTTTGATACTAACATGTTTTATATTTGTTATCTTGTTCACTCTTTAATACTTTGCTTGTTAAATGATTAATCTTGATTTATGTTGTATAACACTTGGTACAACAAATGCTTGGCACTTTCATAGCCCATACTGTATGGTATAACCGACACCTGAGCTATGAAAGGAACTTGATTTATTGTTAACATAGTATAACACTTGGTACAACAAATGCTTGGCACTTTCATAGCCCATAATGTATGGTATAACCGACACCTGAGCTATGAAAGGAACTTGATTTGTTGTTAACATAAGTTATAATCATGAATGCTTGACGAGATTTACAAGTATTAGCATTAATTGAATAAGATGACTAATGTAATCATGTTAACAATATATAATCTGATTGGAACCTCCTTTTTGTGTGGTTTCCAATTCAATAATAAGAGTTTATACTATACTTGTTTGGTATACCATTAGTGGAACCTCTAACCTTGACATTTGTTATTATTATTGTTTAATCCTTACATTAATTTTCCATCTCCAAGTTCTCATCATCATCTTTTTCTTCTTTTTCTCTTTCTTTATTATTATTATTATTAAGTTCTCATCATCATCATCTTCTTCTTCTTTACTACTACTACTACTACTACTACTACTACTACTACTACTACTATTATTATAGTTATTATTGTTATTATCATTGTTGTTATTATTGTTATTACTATTATTATTATTGTTGTTGTACTATTGTCGTTTATAATTTGTACAATTAACCTCCCTGTGGTTCGACCCCGGTGTTGCCGGGTTATTTATTACTTCGACACTCCTGCACTTGGAAGAAGACATCAATCTTTTAGTCGTGTCACCACTCTGCAATACCATTGACAAAACTTTAAACTGACCCAATAAGTAAGCTATTGATTATTTCAAAACAGCATATGTACTTCGGTAGTTCCATAAAGTTTTAACAATTTACAAACAAATACAATCTTACAAAATCTAAAATAAACCATAACAGGAATAGAATTATACATTCATATACTACAAGTTTGTTTGACAAATAACAATAAAACATGTAAATTTACTAACAAAATACATATACTAAAAAAACAATAAAATTGACATTTAATTAAATGTTAAGATTTTAAAAGAAAGAATTGCTTACAAAAATTGATAAAATCCATCGGTAAATCAGAACACGAATGCTGTGACCACAAAACTTCAAGAAATATAACTTGATTTGCTGATATGAGGGAGATTTTTGTTTAGGGGGATGGGGGGCTGGTTGTTTGCAGTTAGGGAGAGTTGGGATTAGGAAGAAGAAAGAGAAATAAAAGAGGAGAGGGTCAGCATGTGAACATTATTAACTTTTCCTGACTGTATCACCGATGAATTTTTCGTCGGTGAAACCGTCGATGATTCTGACGGCATAATCGACACGTCACCGTATGGATCTACCATTTCAAATCTATCGGTGAATCCGTTGGCAATATAAACGGCGGTCGCTATATGGCCTGTCTTTTTGAATCCGTCAGTGATTCTGTCTGAAAAAATAACACGCCAAAACCTCCAGGTCAGCGACCCGTTTTTTTACGACGGTGATGTTTCCATCTGTAATTCAGTCGGTAACTACCGACGAAATTTTTTTGTCGGTAGTTACCGACTGAATTACGGATGAAATATAACTATTGGTAATTTTAACCTCAAATTATAAATAGAAATATTTCGTCAATAAATCCGTTGCTATTTAATGAATTTCTGGTAGTGAAACGTGATGCGTGATAAATTGCAAACCAAAAGTTGAACCTGATTGTTATTTTGAATTGCAATATAAAAGGCAATCTTAATTATGATTTAAAGAAAAAAAAGATAAATGTTATCAATTAATTGGAAGATCATCAATTTCGAAAGGGTGTCTCTTCTAATGTACCACGTACGGATATTTAGTGCGTCTAATTAATTAATGATGCCCGAAAAAAAATTGTAAGAGAATTTTGCAGTGTCCGGTTTATTACAGCATTCTTGTAAACACAGATGCAAGTCAGCGACCAGCTTGTAATCTTTTTTTTTTTATTATTATTTTTGAAAGAGAATATGATTTCATGAACCAGAATGGAGCATTAATTGACCTTGAAAATCTTAGATTCTGACAAGCACCATGACAACTATATATACATAATATACTAGCTTGCCCTTAAATTAGTAATTTCAGCTAAAAATGTGCTGGAGCTTTTGCTTACCGGTGCAGAAGTAATTAAGCCTTAATTAGCAGTAGCCATGGGTTAACCTATCCATTTACACCATCATATACGTGGGCTTTTTGATACTTCTCTATGCGTGGGACAGAGAGATTTCCCATCAGACATTAAAGCAATCCGAGGTTTGTTCTTAATATAAGGAACAAAGCTCTATTTTTGTCTCCCCCCAGCAAACTTGATTCATCTTTAAATTCCTTGAGAAAGAATGGTGGGTCAGGGAGAAAAAAGAACATTTCGCCTAGTGCGAAAGTTTTAGATTTCTTTTATTGTTCTCAGCAATTGCAATGGCAATTGTGTTCAAGAATCTTTTTGTTCTCCCTGTCCTTTTCCTTTCCAGTTACGCCCAACTTTGGTTGAGGCCTGATGCCTACGTATTATTCAACAGGAAAAAGATCTTAGGCCCTCATGAATTGTTTAACGACCCTTTTGGAGATGCTCTAGATTATAAGAGGAAAAAGATCACCGATGATTTCGGGACTGCCCCACTATCAGATTCCGAAAAACCTTCTGTTCGTCCTAATTATGCGGGTCTACCTAAGGAACCTAAAGGGAGATGGGAGTTGGTTGCTGTGAATTCTGGTGTATCAGCCATGCATGCAATCTTGCTTCCTAGAGTTAACAAGGTTTTAATGTATGATGCTACCATTTGGAAGAAATCAGAAATCCGGTTGCCTACTGGGCATTGCCGTCTGCTTAACCAGACTACAGGTGAAAAGGATTGTTATTGTCATTCAGTTTTGTTTGACATTGTCACAACGGCATTAACACCACTGGAGGTATGTATTCATTTTTACCAATTAATTAATATGTCTGTCTCTTTATATATGATTAACCAGACTACAGGTGAAAAGGATTTTTATTTTTTTTTAAAGGAAAAAACATACCGTTTTATCTTACAAAATAATCTCAATTTAATTTGCTAGATCACTCTCTTTCCTAGTAGCTAGCTAACAGTTTGAAATCATTTTCTTTTTTCCTTCTAATTTTGCATTACAGCTTCACACAGATACATGGTGTTCATCAGGAGGTCTTTCCGTTGATGGAAACCTGGTGGGCACTGGCGGTTTCCAAGGAGGTGCCAATACTGTTAGATACTTGGAGACATGTAAAGGCTGTAACTGGAGAGAATTTCCAACGGCACTTGCTGATCGTAGATGGTACGTGCATATTATTTTTCATTTCATGAACGATTGTTTACTATTACTTTTATTTCCTCTCAGAAATTGACGTTGTACTTTTTTTTCCTTATCTCAATCAAGGTACTCAACACAAGCGGAACTTCCTGATGGTGGATTCATCGTGGTTGGTGGTCGCGAAGCTTTTAGTTATGAGTACATTCCACGAGAAGGAGACTCCAATGCCAAGTCCTACTTCTTTGACTTCCTCAAGAAAACCAGTGATAGGGATGAGAACAATTTGTATCCTTTCGTCCACCTCTCCACCGATGGCAACCTCTTCATCTTTGCCAATAATCTTGCCGTCCTGCTCAATCCCAAATCCAACAAGGTTGTCCATGAGTTCCCAGCCCTTCCAGGAGGTCATCGCAGCTACCCTGCCACCGGAATGTCTGCGCTGCTCCCAATAAAACTACACTCCAAAAATAATGATGTCATCCCAGCTGAAGTCTTGGTTTGTGGAGGCTCCGGACACGAAGATGCATATACCCAAGCTAGCAAAGATATTTTCTACACAGCACTCCAAGACTGTGGAAGAATCAGAATTACAGATAAAAAGCCTGTCTGGAAGAGAGAAATCATGCCATCACCCCGTGTTATGGGTGACATGGTGATTCTTCCCACGGGAGACATCCTCATGCTCAATGGTGCTAAGAGAGGATGCTCGGGATGGGGTTTTGCCAGAGAACCAAATTTGGCCCCAGCAATATATTATCCCAAAGCAAAGTTAGGCAACAGATTTATGCAACTAAAAGCCTCTATAATTCCAAGAATGTACCATTCGTCTTCTGTGGTACTACCAAACGGTAAAGTCCTTGTGGCTGGAAGCAACACAAACAATGGATACGTTTATAATGCCATTTTCCCCACTGAATTAAGAGTTGAGAAATTCTCCCCACCTTACTTGGATCCATCAGTGGCAGTGCATAGACCTGTGATTGTAACTGATAAAGCCCCAGAGCAGATTAGTTATGATGAGACGTTCCAGCTCCAAATCAAATCAACAGCAGTAAAAGTAGAGAAGAAAGACATCATAGTAACGATGTATGCTCCTGCTTTTACCACTCATGGGGTGTCAATGAATCAAAGACTCCTCGACTTGGGTTTGGAGGATGTGATTGCCGAAAATGCTTTCCTAGGGATCCACACTATCACCGCTGTGTCACCACCCAGCGGTAAGGTTGCTCCTCCAGGGTACTACATGCTCTTTGTTGTTCATCAAGGAGTGCCAAGTGTTTCCACCTGGGTGCAGATCAAGTGAAGCTGACTCGACTGTTCTAATTTCTCTCTGTCAATTTTCTCTAATTTAGTGTTGGTATATGAATTTGATTTTGTTGCTGTGGTGCAATCAATATTTTTATGAAGGATATAATTGAGGGAGGTGAATTAATTAAACTGATAATTTTTCATTTATGAAATGAAATTCTTTATTTTTTCATTTTTTCCCCACATTTTCAGTTTGTTACTTAATTCCCTATAGCCAACTTCATCCAGTAAAACAATCATTACCAAGAGAGCAGTTCCTGGTTTTATGCCATATTTATGCGCGCGCGCGCGTGTCCGTGTCCATAGATAATTAAATACAGCAATGAAAGGAAAACTAACCATATGTAGAAGAAACTGATGTCTGACACGAGTTCCCACCATGTAACCATGCATGCACAATTCTGAAGCCCTATTTGGATTCCTTTGATAATAACATTTAAGCATGCATATCTTCTCCATTGGTCTCCAAAGTGAAATCTTCAGGCTAGGAATAGTGATAAATGCCCAGCTACAGCACACCATTATCAGCCTATATATGAACCCATTTTGGAATTAGAAGTTAGAAATTACAAGTCCTAATTAAACACACCTCGGTACGTACTGTATATACATATTGGATATGTACTCAGAGAAGTTGGGGTTGTGGAAACTCTACTTACGTAATGCAAGAACTAGCATTTAACATTCCTCATAGATGTGGACGTGCACATCAGAGCTAGGCTGGCCAAGCTAGTTCTCCTACATATTAGTGTCACGCGCGATGCCTGCCTGGACCTACTGCAATCGCGTCCAAAAGGCTGCTGAGTTCTCATCAACCCATTACCTAACCTCAATGATCACATGCCCTCTTGACATCACCATTCCTAACACCAGCAGAATCATGGTAAACACATATTTTGTTTGTTCTGATCATAAGTGCAATAAAATTATGTGTCTGAACTTTTCAGACTGAAATAATTGTGCAGGCTGTAACCAGTGGCGGAGACAGGGGGCTGGCAGTGGCAGAGGCAGAGGCAGAGGGGCTGGCAGGGCCAGCCCCTGCAAGGAAAATTTTCCTAACCCCTCCTTGACCCTCATTTAATATATATTTTAATAAAATAAATTATTTTAAAATGATTCTTTTAATTTGGCCTTCTTCAATTTTTTTTTTCTTGCTCCGCCCTGGCTGTAACTATTGTAGGTCTTAATCTTATAATATGAAAGAAAAACAAAAAGAAATACAAAAATAGATATTCTTCCAATCCGGCTGCGGCGGGCTGCCCATGTTACAGGGAATGCGTATCGACCTCATGGGAAGCATAACTTAATTAGACAGACCTCCTTTCACCTAGACAGTATTTCTTCTGAACTACTAAAAATTGTGAATGTCAACCACCAAGACAGAGTCAATATATTTTGAAACTAAATATATATAAAAAAAAACATCAAACTTAAGTTTTTCTTAGCAAGGAACATTTGCGGGTTAGAGGCTATATAAAGGCACCGAAGGCTGCTGTCAAAAGCATCCCATTTCAACTCCTAGTATTTGCTAAACTCAAAGACGAAACTCCTGCGTTGGGGTTGAAATGGCAAGTCTACGAACTTTGTTGGCAGCTCTATTCATCATTGTAGTAGCATTTGATCCAAGTGCAGTTAATGCCAAATTCTCCAACAGCGTGTATTTCTCATTCGGTAATACCGGGCAATGGCGACGATCTTCAACTGTTGTTGGATCAAACTATTGAATTAAACTCAATTTAGAAGGTCAAGAAAAATAACCACCTACCATCACTTGCAGCCACTAGCTGTCACCGTCCAGTCGCCAGCCACCTTTACACCGTCAATCACAGAAGCCTTCATACTTGAAGATTGAATTTTCTTGTTTTGAATTTGTATATAAATAGACAGCTAAACTTATACAATTAGGTGTAGAGAGATTTGAGAAATACACAGATAGAAAGAGAAAGGGTGTGCATTGAATCTTTTGTTTTAATTATTGTAAGCTTTTGTTCTTTAAATAAAGAGTGTGTTTTATCCCCTCTAAGTGTTTTAAAACCACCACCAGTGGTTTCTCCTATCAACAATTGATATCAGATCCCCGTTCGTCAGAAAACAGAAGTGTTTTGGGATATATCTAAATTTTCAAAGTTGTCAAAAACAAGTTTTGATCATTCCACAGTGTAGAGCCCATCCATACGAACTCACTGATGCAAAAATTAGCTTCATCAGAGCAAGAGGTATCCCACACGTGCCGCCTGAATATTCTGCCCTGTCGCCCACGCGCATTAGAGGTTAAGATGACTGAGCCACACGCATGTCATATTTGCGCCGAGCCTCAAGCTGAGCCGCAGCCAAGCCGATCGAATATTCCCGGTTCAACCTCAGCGAACCGCCTGACATACAGAACTGTTTTTTGACCTGTTCACCCTATTTCTGACCTATTTTCTACAAAGTTAAACTGATTCCCTACTATTTGGACCATTCTAGATCAATCTACAATGTCCGTTTTGCCAAATTCAACTCACAAAAGATGATATAGTCATTCAAAAAGCAAAATGACTACAAAAAATACACAAACACTCATCCCGAAGCTGAACAAAGACAACTATGATAGTTGGTGCATCAGATTGAAGACATTCCTTAGTTCACAAGAGTGTATAGACATTATGCAATATGGTTATGACGAACCACAGTCCAAAGAATCAGAAGATGCTCTATAAGAGGCACATAAGCAAGTCCTTAAAGCCAATAGAAAGAAAGACAACAAAGCAAAGACAATCATTTATCAAGGTCTTGATGAAGCCACATTTGAGATCATTGCTTCTGCAGAAACATCAAAAGAAATATGGGAGGCTCTCCAACAAAAATACAAAGGTGCTGACAAAATCAAGAAGATTCGTCTCCAATCTTTACGAGGTGAATTTGAATTATTACAAATGAAGTCCTCGAAATCTATTTCTGATTATCACACAAGAATTATAGTGATAGTCAATCAGATAAGAAGAAATGGAGAAGCCCTCACAGATGCTCGGATTATTGAGAAAATTTTGAGATGCCTAGATCCAAAATTTGATTTTGTTGTTGTCGCTATTGAAGAGTCCAAAGAAGTGGACAAGTTGACAGTGGATGAACTTATGAGTTCTTTACAAGCTCATGAGCAAAAGATTGTAAAGATAAATGGAGATAAGGTAATTGAGCATGCCTTATAAGCAAAGTTATCTCTCAAAGACAGATATGAGCAAGGAGAGACTTCAACAAGTGGAAATACCACTCGAGGAAGAAGTCAACAAACACGAGGAGGATTTTAACAATTTCAAGGAAGAGGTTCTTGGAATACAGGTTTTAGAGGAAGAAGTGGTTGAAACACCATTAGAAGAGGTCGAGGACAATAAGCATTCACTCCTAGAGGAAGAGAAGGCAGTTACAATAACCGTGACAAGAAGAATATCCAGTGTTATAATTGCAATCATTTTGGGCACTATAACACTGAATGTCAAAAGAAAGGTCCATTAGAGGTACATGAGCATGCCAACCATGCAGAGGAGGATGCCAACAATAGAGGAGCAGTTGCATTATTTGTCCAACAAGGACTTGACAAGAATCAAGAGAATATTTGGTATCTTGATTCTGGAGCCAGCAATCACATATGTGGCCAACGAGATCTGTTTGGTGATCTAGATGAGACCATACAAGGTCTAGTCACCTTTGGAGATACCATAAAAGTTCTATTTAAAGGTAAAGGCAACATCCTAATCAAGTTGAAGAATGGCAATCATAGCTACATCGCCGATGTCTACTATGTTCCAGCCTTAAAGCAGAACTTGGTGAGCATAGGTTAACTTTTAGAGAAAGGTTATACACTTTTCATGAAGAATTGTCATCTGACAATTATAGACTACAATGAGAGATTAATTGCTTATTTGAAAATGTCCAAGAATAGGATGTTTCCTTTAAACATCCAATATGATGTAGTAAAGTGTTTGAGTGTCATCACTAACAATGAAGAATGGCTTTGGCACCTGAGGCTTGGACATTTGAATTTCACAAGTCTGAAGGTGCTAGGAAGCAAAAAGATGGTCAAAGGTATGCCTCATATTAATCATCCAGAAAAAATTTATGAGAGTTATGTCCTTAGCAAACATCACAGATCCAATTTTGCTAAAAAAGTCAACTGGAAAGCAAACAAGCCACTAGAGTTAGTGCACATAGATGTGTGTGGTCCTATAAAACCTATATCGACTGGACAAAATAGGTACTTCCTTACTTTCATTGATGATTTTAGCAAAAAGACATGGATATACTTTCTGAAGAGGAAGTCAGAAGTGTTCAATTGTTTTAAAGATTTTAAAGCAATTGTTGAGAAGCAAAGCGGCTATAAGATCAGAACCGTAAGATCTGATCAAGGTGGAGAATATACAACAAATGACTTTGAAGCTTTTTGTACACAACTAGGCATCAGACATCAGACAACACTAGCTTATACACCACAACTAAATGGTGTAGCTGAGAGAAAGAATCGAACAATTCTTGACATGGTAAGAAGTCTACTCAAAGCAAAGAAGTTGCCCAAGCAATACTGGGCTGAAGTTGTATCATGTGCAGTATATCTACTAAATCCCCGACCAACCAGAAGTTTGCAAGGTGTCACTCCACAAAAAGCATGGAGTGGTCACAAACCAAGTGTCACTCATCTTCAAGTCTTTGGTTGTGTGGCATATGCAAAGATCCCAGATGCAAGAAGGACCAAACTCGATGATAAAAG